GAGAAGCGCCCCGCCAAGGATGATCTTGCTTATATATAGTTTGGAGAGCGGGAAAGCGGGTTGTACAGAAGCAGAATTGCGGATTGGTTAATTCATATGAGGCCATAAGCTGGGAGGGGTATTTTGCGCGGAAAGTCCTTTTGCCACATTTTATTGTTGGACTATTTCCTTGTTCTTTAGATTCCGAGAATTGGGTGTGTTGACGGGAAGTGGACGGGTTATTCTCGGAACTTGTCGGGGCAAGTCAGGACATGTTGGGACAGGCAATAAGGCGGGTCTCTTCAGTTCCTGAATGGTGGGACAGAGCTGTAATCAAACTGTCCTGTGCTCTGCTCCTGAAACTTGGCTTCCCATGCACAGTTCCACGCAGTGAGCAGCTGCATAGCTGAAACATTCAGTTTATGCGCATCCCAACAGGACACCAGCCAGGACGCGGCCTAGGGGGACAAAACAAGCCTCAGCTGAGCTCGCACTGGAGCCCTCTGGGCTCCCCAGTGACTCCCCAAGTAGGACGGATCATCCGTTGCAGCTGCTGCACAGAATTCTGCTGACTGACTGATCATACAGCACATTTCTCCATCGCAGTTCTGGGCACTGGGAAGCCCCTGGTGGATGTCAGTGAGGGCTTCCTCGTTCATGGATGGTGCCTTCTCCTGTGTCCTCATGTGGCAGGGGCCAGGCGGTGCTTGGAGCTCCTTTTACAGACACTCAGCCCATGCATCACCTCCCAGGGGCCACCTAACCACACTGGTGACTCAGTGTCAACATATAATCAGGGGCTGGGGATACAAAACATTCCGACCACAGCAGTGTTTCTATTGCAGGTTGGCGCCTTCTGAAGGAAGCACTGGTCTCCTGAGCTGTAACAATAGCTGATTTCTAGCCACCCGGGATCCTCTGCTGAAGGGACTGTGGCTCAGCAGGAGGGAGTTCTCTGACTTAGTACTGATACCTCCAGCACTTACACTCCCTGCACCGCTGCTCCGAAGATGACGGTGATGACTGCAAGGCAGTGCCCGAGCTCCCAGGAACATAACATGGCCATTCCAGAACTGTTTTCTTCCACGATCATCGCACATCTCTGGATATGACATATTTGTAACTATGCATATGCATAGGCACCATAACTGTGTTTTGGATCTGCACCTTGGAACATGCATAATCATATGAAAGGATATTTGATATTTCCAAAGAGACAACTATCTTAAATTCTATTTGTTATTTCTGATTTTACTACATTATGGCCCAGAAATGTGATATATGAAATTTTTATCCCTTTACATTTACTAAGTACATAAGTTTTGTTCTCAGGATATGATTAAAGGTATTTCTATCTCTTTGCAAGTCTGTTAGTTGTTTTTCAAAAATTTCACTATTACTATATCCTTTTGGACTTATCCATACAGCTCAATTGTTTTTATTGTTTAGTGTGCTTTTAAAAATTTTTTTAATTGATATATATTTCTACTTATGGCATACAGTATTACAATTCCGTATGTGTATAATGTGAAGTTACCAAATCAGAAATTAGCACTTTCATCTCCTTAAATATGTAATATCATTTCTATGAATTAGTGTGTTACTTTTCTCATTGCTGAGCCGAAATATCTGACACCCAATGTTAAAGCAGGAAAGGTTTATTTTAGACCACAGTTGGCAGGGGTTTTGGCTCATAGTTGGCTGGCTCCGAGTCAGGGCAGCATGGCAGAAGGGCACCAAGGAGGAGAAACATTTCATGGTGTGGCAGGCAGAAAGCAGCAAGCCTGCCTTCCCTCTCTCCCTTTATATTTCATCCAGGGTGTAAGCCTACTGATTGGTGCCATTCATAACCGGAGTGGGGATTCCATTATTTACCCCTTAATCCCAGTACCACACATTCTGTTAACCCACATTCATACACCCTAATCCAGCTGTCTTTAAAACTCCCTGAGTGCACGAAGCTTTGGGGGAATATCTAGATACAAGCAGTAACAGAAACCTTTCAAACCTCCTCTACAGTTATTTTAAAATGTAGAATTGTTATAGACCACAACTGCCTTACTGTGCTATAGAACATTAGAACTACTTTTCCTCTGTATTTTGGTACCCATGACTCACCCTGTCTCTACCCCTTACTAACCTCTATTCTACTTTTTAAAAATCACCCATCTTTCTTTCTCAGTCTTTTCCTTCCATGCCCTATATGCTAGATTCTATTATCTAGTATCTGTCAGTTCAGATTGCCTTCAGGTCTGATAGGAAATTTTATACCTACCAGTATGAACAAGTAGGGGTAGGAAAGGTCGCTGAAGAGGCAGGTAGGGGCCAGTTATTGGAGATTGTTCTATTGTAATGAGAAGCCAATGCCGGGTTTACAGGGGAGCAGGGGAGCATTCTGCATGTGCTTCATGTGTTCATGAGTCAGTTGCATGCTAACCAGGGAAAGAGAGGACTGTTGGGGGGCACAGAGGAAAGCGGGGAGGCTGGGGTGCTGTTTTTGGCAGCAGACCAGGAAGAGGGGAGGTTGCGGCTCTCTGGGGGAACCCCGTCCAGCGGGGAATAGGAGGTGAGAGCCGCCTCTTATTCGTGGGTCATCAGAGGCCGATCCGATCTTGAATGTCTGTGAAGGAAATCTTTAAGAAGTTAGAGCACATGGCCCAAGTCTGATTTCTGATCAAAGGCTCTTTATTGGCTCAGCAAAACGATTATATACTGTTATCCCAGGGGGAAGGTTCAGCAAGCTTATTGGACAGTTCAAACAAATCTTCTACCAATCACATGAGTCACTCAAGCATTTAACCATAAAGGGACAAAGCATTTATCAGCATACAGCAATCAGTATTTTACCAAATGTGGGGAGGGGTAAGTGGGAAGGCGTACATCAACAATTAACCCTATGCAATCTTTAACAATCTCCAGGGGCAAGCGGGGCAAGGGGAAAACCAATTTTGATACCAAGATTCGTCCTTTTCCCGTTGCTTCTGCCTTTGTTGGAGGCTTTCCTCAACCTTTCTAATGCTATCATCCACCAGGCCCAGTTTATCTTTAAAAAAGCAACATTCTTAAAGAAGGGGGTTGGGGCCAATGGCAATGGGTTTGAACTGAGGTGGTTCTTTCAAAAGCCTGATGGAAAAGGTGAGACCCGGATCACGGCCGCTGATGTAAAGGCGAAGGCCCCACTCAACCTGACGAGTCCAGTGGTATTGTTTGCCGGGCGTGGTGGTGCACGCCCATAATCCCATAAAACTAGTTTGGATTACAGTGAGCTCCAGGTCGACACCCGTAATCCCATAAACCCAGCCTGGATTACACAGTGAGTTTAGCCTGGATTACACAGAGAGCTCCAGGTCAATCTCATCTGCATAGCTGAGACCCTCATCTCAGAAAAGCCAAATAGAGTCATAGATTGTGTCAATGCCTCAATGGTAGAAGTTACTTTTCCAATGTCAAATGCCAGCGGGCTCCCACAGGAGGTGGCTGAAACTGGCTGTTAGGAAGCTGCAGTCAGGCAGCCAGCACATTAAATGTGAGACGACCGAGAAGCAGGGTTTGGGCATTTTCCACCCTAACATAATCTGCATCTTGCATCTAGGTACCATATTGTTACTTAGGAATCCAGCAGTTTTTCTGTTGACTTGCTACACCGTGTATCTTACTGTTTAAAGTCACTGGAAATAGGTTCTCGTTCACAGTTAATGCAGATATCTTCCAGCCCCATCTTAGCTTTAAATTTTTGATTATTACCTTGTAAATTACTTAACTTTTTCTCCCAAATCCTGTAAAACTGGTGCTCCGGAAAAAGATGTATCGCTAGGATTCTGCTGTATTTCACAGCCTCCTGTACAGATTCGGGGCTACGAATTCTCCAGTTTAAGAATTCAGCAGTGTAGCACTTGGAGTTCATCAGAAAAACTAAATGGAAAAGTGACTTAAAGAGATTTATCACTGTAAACCTCAAAGGCAACATTTTAGTAAAAGTGTCCCAAAGGGATATTTTTTAAAGGAACATTTAAATTGGTTTCAAAAGAACCCTACTGTAGGGCAAAGGCGTAGAGATGGTGCGAACACACATTTCCTTAGCCTCTTGGGAAAGCCCAGCATGAACTTAGTTCCTCTGGGTCAATGCTTATCGTGGCCTTGAGGTCCGCGGTACGATGACAAGGTCTGGGAACCGGTCAGTGCCAGCAGTCAGGAAAGTGGTGCGGCTGTGCTTCCAGGCTGAGCCCGGGCTCCCCGCCGCGGCGTCCTCTTCAGTTCCCGATAGCCGAAGGGGAGGGTCCCCCGGAGGCCCTGCCTGCTGCACAGCCTTAGGTCCCAGGAGGCCTGGGTGCGGATGCACGCAGCTCCGAGATGGAGGGGACGAGGGCCGGTGCCAGGTCTTCAGGGACGGAGTATTTACACTACAGGCTGAAGGCATTGGTGTAGACACCATCCAACGTGGTGCTCCCGTTAGAGGTTCTATCAAGCGTGACTCCACAGCACCCGCCCCAATTAGAGCGCGGGAGGCGACCTGCGCCTGCGCCGGGA